CCTAGTGGATAAAAGAAAAAAGATGGCTTTCTTCTGTAGCTGATTTTAGGCTTAAATACACTGCAAGGCAAGAGTAGGCAACTCCTGTCCTGTAACTTTAGCTGTGTCCCTGGCCCATCACACCTGAATCAAATAATAAGATAATTAACTGGACTGAAGAAACTGCCTATATCCTTTTCATTCAGATATGTTGGACCATGGATGAATCTAAATGTTTCAGGACACTGACCCTCAAGTCCCAGAGTTACCCACCCCTGCTGTAAAGTAATGGTGGATATCATCCTGAGACAGTTTGGAAAAAAAGCCACTGCTCTCTCTCAAACAGTCTCTGGACTCTCTGGGAACTTAAGTGACACAATATTCCTTTAGGCCTTGGAAAAATATAGGGATTCCACATTAGTGTTGCTGGGTTTTAAAAAAAAGAAAAAAAGGGAGACATGTAACAACTCAATAGAAAGAGGGATACTTAGATTTCTGCTGATTTATTCAGCCACAACCCCAGATAGGTTTACAAGTTGAGTTTTCCAAGTTAAATTTGCAGGGCCACTGGGTGTCTGCTTCATGTCATTACAGGAAAATGGCAAGTAGTCGGGTGCAGGCACACAACACATGCACGCCATGCTCAAACTACAGGGCAATTAAGAAAGGGAAAATAAACTTAACTATAATATGGGAGAAATTCAGAATATATAGAGAGAACTGTATGCAAAGAACAGAACATGAAAGCTCTAAGTAGAAAGTGAATGGCTGGGATTAATACATAAGGAGTTTCTGCAGAAAAGCAACAGCTCTGTCTATACTAACTAAAGCACAAAATCTGAACTGAATCTTTTGAAAACACAGCAAACTGAAATAAACGGGTTTATACCTGTTAGAGTCAAATTAATGTGTGAAATAACAGAAAAGTTCTTACATTTCTGAAGAACCTTTAGTGCGTTGATATACAAATTAACACAGCCAAGAAATATTACAGAGCCCAATATCTAGTCTGCATTACATTACCAAATTAACCTTTTCCTTTGACCAAGTATCAGAAGTGTAGCCTGGGGGGCACTAGATGACATTACAGAACCAAGATAACATAATTAAGCCAATCTAACAGATTTCTTCAGACAGAGGGTTTCAAGGTCAAATAAAATGCTCTTAAAACACATTTTCTTCTGAAAATTATTGGTATTCATTAATGTGAATATATTAATTTTACTCTAAACAGAACAACACACATTTGGCAACTTTATTAAAAGTGGACTCTAGCTAACAAGATAATAGACAAAAAAATTAGGAAAACTCAGAATCCCAGAGCCAGGTGGTCACTGATATATGTGGTCAAAAAGTCTGAGGTGTCAAAGCATTGGGAGTTGATGAGATCTGCCGTGAATACTTTGAGTCACTGGATGTTGCCGTTATGGCTGATATCCATTTTGGCTGTGTCCCTAGATGGGGCACTAAGTGGCGGTTCCCCTCCATCCGAAGGGGAACAACTGGTATTTGAGTCAACTATAGGAGGCACTTCCGAGCCTTTGCAGAAAGGGCTATGCTAGTGCTACGACCACAGATGATCTTGCTCTCGAAATGGAATTAAACGATTGAGATTGGCTAGCCGAATATATAAGAGGTAGAGCGGAGCCGCCTGCTGTAATGTACATTGGTTAAATAAAGAAACTCCAGTCCGGCGCGCGGATGACGTCATACACACGCCGCTTTGTTTTAGAAAAATAGAAATATAAAAAATATAACCGCGGATGTCTGGGGGACAGTGATTCACCTATATGTTATGAATGCTGGCGTACCATAAAGAATACATTATGAACAGTTTAGTTTGTGCCTTCAAGTCGTCGCCCATAGGAAGACGTTACTTGGATATAACCTAACCGAATATCTTCGGAACAGCTCCAAATGACACAAGACTCATATGGGTGAGTAGAACATGATGTAATAACGTAAAATCAAGGGCCAAATGTAAAAAAACGGTGTTCCCCTTTAAAGCACAACCACTAACATCATGGGTGTAAATGTTGACATTCCGATCACTGATGCACTTTATAAATGGTAATGTTCGTTTCACTGTTGTAAGCTGCTCAGTCACAGTTGAAAAACTGTAAGCATCTAAAGTTCATTTTGTACAAATTCTGTGTATAAAAGATGACAATAAAATTTGTCTAAGTCTATTCTATGGATATATTTTCACAGGATATTTCAGGTTGAACAGTTTCTTTATCCTAGAAAATTACACCAAACAGGCATAGAATTATAACCACTGAGAGGTGAAATGAATATTACTGGCACGCTGATCATTATGGCACCTCTTAGAAGTAGTTATATTAGGGAGAAAGTAATCATTATCTCCTCCAAAGTAATAGGTAAGAAAGTTGTAAAATAAAAATTTGATATTTAAGTGAGTTTAAAAGTAGCCAACCTGTGATACCTCAAAAACTGGGTCAAAGCATCACTGAAACTGCACTTCTCATAGGTTGGTCCCATCTACTCTGCCTATCATCATCAAAGGTGGCTAAAAGAAGGAACAGTTTTGAATCAACAACAGGGTCAAAGGTTAATTGATGGAAATGGGGATTGAAGGCTGCCTGGTGTGCACTGATCCAACAGAAAAGCTACTCTAGCTGAAGCTGTTGAAAGCGTTAATGCTGGTTCTGATGGAAAATCCTAAAATACACAAGCATCACATTTTGCTGTGTATGGGACACAGGCCACTTAGAGTACCAAAATTAGTCCTTCTTCTCATTTAAAGAACCAGTAAAGGGTACGTGAGAATTGGACCAAGGAGGAATGGGAAAGCTGGACTGGTTTTCTTTCCCATCAATGTGTATGTCTGGAGGTGTGTACATGTTTTACCTTGGAAACACAACATACCAGGATTCATTATGGAATAAGAGAAGCAGATGGAGGCTGATGCTTTAGATAATGTCAGGCTAGGAAATATTGGCTCCCCCCATCCAGGCAGAGGCTACTCTAGATTTTTGCCACAGAACCCCCTTAGGTAAGTGGTATATGTAGTTTATAGTAAATATCTGACCATTTATTCCACATGATCTGTCCAAATTCAGCCTAAACAAATATGTTAAAACTTAACCCCTTTGACCCACACTGTCTAGTATCAGGATCAGTTTTCCCTGTTTGGCCTGCCTTTTGTTTCCTACTTCTAATTCTTACTTACAAGCTTGATTTTGTTCCCACAAACGTAAACTATGGAATATGGATTTAAGGGTATTTATGTGCATGTATTTACATATTTTATTGTGATAGATAGTCATACATGATTTGGACTCGCATCCACCATGATAGAATTCTATATTGCCATCTGAAAGCTTTTCAGTATAGTTTATTTTCAGTTATAAAGGTTATGGTCCCTATTCAGACTTATCAACCCCACTGAAACATGAGAGGTTTATAAACTAAATCCAGTCTAAAGTGAATTTCTGTTTAATTTAACTTACTAGGGTCATAAAGAAACATTTATTTACAGTGGACTTAAAATTGAATTAAAAATATAATTATCTGCAGTCAAAATACTTTAGAATAGCTCTCTGGAGAGAATAATTTAAAGAGTAAGGTATAAGAACCTAAACTCCAGACTTAAATTAAACCTCTGCCTTGAAGATGTATGGCTTGAGTGACACTCCTGGTTTTAGTCTATGATCCTTTACATAAGCTTTATTTCAAATAATCAGCAGTGAAACAAAGCCGTTAGGAAAGTGAAAGAATACAACACTGACAGATGATGTATGCACATAAGAATACACTCTAATTATTGGCTGTCACATCTCTTGCTGTTAGGCTAGAGGCAAAATTTACAACATATTATCAGAAAAATATACTGCCTGTTCAGTTCAATGAAATGTTTGACGTTTCCTGTCATAATCTCACTAAACTGCAGCTCACTAGATTGTATCTTGGAACAGTTTTAATGTTCAGATTTGTCAACGAGGGTTTTAAATGTAGCTTTCAAACTTGGTTTAGTAGTAATATGGAATATTTCTTGGCTCAAATCCCTTTCTTAGATTTATTTTTTATAATCACATGCTATGTTTTTGTTTAAATCTATGAACGTTTCAACAAGGATAAATAATCAGATTTACAGAACAAAACAATCTCAAGCTATATCAATATGATGAAAGATATATGTTGATGTCTATTGATACATGTTGGGAAATTGAAGGTAAATCTTTAAATTATGTTTAAACTTGGAAGGAAATACATTTTAAACGCAGAAATGAAGTGTTATTGCATTTGATAAAAAAAAAAAAAGCATTTTTCTCTAAAGCCTTGAGGTTTGATTTGGACTCTACATTAAAGAATAGATAAGAAATAACAAGAAAATGCAGAGTTATAAAATGGCATACACCCAAAAAAAAAAAAAAAAAAAAAAAAAAAAAAAAAAACATATTAACCAAAAAAAAAAAATAGCATAACATGTAATCAATAATACATTTTTTCATCATTTTTATATATTGAACTTATCTATATAGTGTAGCCTATCCTATCTGGCATGTTCTTGGCACAAGGGGGGATGCGCTCTTTGGAAGCGTCACTCACAGCTGCACGCGCACATAACAGTATTTATTTATTTTATTTTTTTATCACTTGACAAGGAACCAGCTTCTTCCATTGAGGCGCGGTTATGAATGAATGAAGCGGAGAAACGATGCTTTGAGTCAGTCATTGATGTAGCTGTTCATTCACTCCCGCACTTCTTCTCATCATGAAATTTTCAGCTATTTTCTCAAATCATTCAGAACAATAACAATAAAATACAGTAGTTTGTGAGATGTTGTTAGGAATAGCCTTTCAATAAAGTGTGCAAATAATTTATTGATTTATTTTTTTCCAGTTTTTCTCCAGATGTGTTGAACTGATTTTGCCAGTTCGCATCAGACCTTTGCGCGCAGTGCTGAAGCGCGCAGAGGCTCTCCGGTCACACAGAAAGCTGTTGCATTTAAATAGGCTACAATAAAAAAAAGAGGGGAAATAAAGTGGAGACTTACAGCTGGAGCCACCGGGGACGCCTCGATGATCCGGTGCGGGTTGATGGAAGTGATATTCCAAGGTGCGCTGCGGGTCGGCTCCGGTGTCGGAACCATCGGTCCGATGTGCAGCTTTGAATCCATCCGAAGGACCAGACTGCTCAGAAAGGCTGAGTTTGCGAGAGAAGTAAATTGGAAATGTCTTGAGCGTGTGGTCTAAGAGTCGGAGCGGGCGGTCATCCTCTCCACCCTGCTCCTACCTCCTCCTCAGAGAAACTGGAGTAAAACAGCAGTGGAGACCACTTGCTCTCTCTCTTTATGTGTCTATCCCCGGGTTTCTCAACCAATCTCTGCTCCGGGGAAGCCTCTCACACTGTGTTAGTAGTGCACAAATAAAATCACCCTTTTTCTTTCTTTTTTTTTCTGTTTCATTGAATGCATCCTCAGTTTTTTCTCTTTTTCTATACACACAGTTTCATTTTTCCGTTTACCAGAATTTCAAACCCTGTTGATCAATAAGAACCAAACCCTACTTATTATTTTGTAGTTGAAGACACATAACATATTCTATGTAATTTTCTACAAATATAATGTGAAAAGTATACATAGAATTAGAACTCCATGTGTCTTTGTATCCCTGAATAAAGGGATACAAAGACACATGAAGTCTTTGTATCCCTACTCTTTTTGGTAGTAGAAATTAGATAACCAAAAGTTTGAAAAATCATAAAATGTTATTTCCAAAACTTTAAACATCTTGCAGAGCTCAAGGGGACTGATGGTAGCTCAGTGGAGGAAGAGTGGGAAGAGGAAGGTCATAAGAAGTTGAGATTCCACAAGCCATGTTATAGCCATATAGATAAGTCCATCCATCCATCCATCCATCCATCCATCCATCCATCCATCCATCCATCCATCCATCCATCCATCCATCCATCCATCCATC